TAGTGACCCAGTTAGCAGTGCTGACTAGAGCCGCCAGAATCCCTTTTCAACTGGGCGTTCTGGTCGAAAACCGGATGCCTGGTAACTCTAAATCAGAACCATGTTTCTGCCACATTGCAGTTAGGCTTGTTTCACTTTTCATTATATGAGTTTCTGAACAATTAGCAGGACCTTTTCAAGCCCAGCCCAGCACGTATGGTTTCTCACTATTCATTACAAACAGTGGCAATTTAAGCAATGGAATTCTACCTTGCTTGCTCCAGTCCCCCATACTGAACACTAATTAGTTCCCCTGTGCCTGTCCCCAGCACAATTCTGATAAACTTAGGTGGAAGAATGTCATGCTATGATACACCATATCATACAAAAATATACTGCAACTCTATCTGAAATGGCTATCCTTTCAGTAATGGAGTCACCCAACGTCATGTGAACATTAATTACTATATACAAGCTCATTTATTTTCTGAGTCCCAGGGTGTACTAACCCTCGTTAGCCATTTCCCCGCCCCCCTTCCTCATTTTCCAATACCAGTCTTTCTAGCAGTCATTTCTTCTGGTTACAGACATATTCTACATAGCTCTTATTAACACATTGCTGGCATCTGACATCTTTACACCAGCACTTCACTTCTGAAAGATCCACTTTGGTAACATTCCTGAAAACTTGACATTTTGCTTGGAAATTCCACAGTTTTCTTATGTCCTTTTGCACATCCATTCAACCCTTGGTTTCTCCTTGCAGCAATTTCCATAGAAACTGTGATTTCAACAGTCTTCTGGGATGTAAGGTCAGATTCTGCCAATAGACAATGCTATATTGCTTCAGTACATAGACGAGAGACTGGCATGTCACGAAAGGTGTTGTTTAATACACCATCAGATTCACACTGTTCAGACAGCCATAAACTGTGAAACTTTCTCCCTTTTCTTGGTTTCTTCTATTAAATTGGAATTTCTCCTTGACCACTGGTAGCTTCACAGCAAAATGTTAATCAAGTACATGCACCATCTTTGTACACGTTTTTGTTCCTGGGCTGCCTGGCTGCACCTAATGACATAATAGTGTTAAGTTTTATTTCTCTTCAAACTCAGGAGAGAGGATACTGTGGATACACTGAATCTATTTCCCAAGTATGCCATTTGCAGTAACAAAGCATTCAATATATTCAGTGGAAAACCTCTATATTCTCAGCACAATAGACTGTAGGTTTTATAATATGATTTTTTTTTTAAATTCACTCTCTTTGGTGGGTAGTTCAAAATCACTAGTTACCTTTCTGTATAAACATCCCCATTCCACCCTTCCTGTAGTTCTCTCTCAGATGCCACAGTCATAGTGATTCTTTGCTGCTGTTCAGGTGGGAATTTAAGATGATCACTTTAAATAACACGCCAGCTGCAGATCAGCAATACAGCTGTGGGTTGTTTTTCTCCACAGACATACGGACATAAGATGGCTGTTCCCAGTGCAGTATTTTTTTAAAACTATTTTTCATTGTACTCAAGCCACACAGAATATCAATACAGGACATAAACACCCTGGTGTATGTGTAATTGCAACAGAGGAGCAGAAAGAGTTTTATGAAAGTGTGCGGGTATAGTAAGAACTGCAGGTAGTGCAGGTTCATATCTATGTATAGTTGAAATTAACAGGCAAAGAAGTGAGTTGTTAAACGGTGTGAACTCCTGCAGACAGCTGTACAGGACACTGGGGAAAATGTCTGATGATCAGACACCCTGAAGATGATACACTGCCTCCAATTCTTCTCTAGGAACACCCTCATTCTTCAGAGTGTCATTTCTGGAGCCGTGTCTTTTTTAATTATCCATATCATATTATTTTTAATTTGTCCCTAGGAAGAAGGTTTGTCCAGGAGTGGCTAGCACTCCCTGCCATGAGATTTCTGACAGGCGTCATCCTCTTAGAAACAAGGTTGGCAAGGCAAGGTTGCACACGGAAGAACAGTATACGCTCAGAGAGGAAGTGAAGTGAACATGCAAAAATGCACTGGTAGCAACAACGCTACAATAATATAGCAGAATCCTGTGAAAGACATAGCCTTGTTGGATGAAAGTATGTGCTCTGTGCACAGGTCTCTTTCCTTTACTCCCTCTCTAGCTATTTAGTGTTGATGTACCAGGGACTAAACCAGAATACAGGTAGTTTTCCACAACAGTTAAAGGGTTAAAAAAGACACAAAATTAAGCCTGTTTTAATTTAATTTACAGAATGATTTTGAGGTGCTCAAGCACTGCTCATCACAAAAATATCTGGGTCCCTGACATAAAATAAAAACAAACAATACATTAAAAAGGGCCCACAGCAATATAGAATAGCCCCTAATGCCAAGTGCAGAGCCAGGCCTCAAGGATGCTCTAAATTGTGCCATCTAAAATGGCCCCCAAAAGGAAATCAGCCACATATCACTGGGCAAGGACACACTGATCACACACCCCATGCCAGTGGCTGCAGTAGGGCAAAGCATACTTAACCGGGACAAAGATGTGGCCCTACGTGGTAGCCTCAGCCTCAAAATATAGCAAGCTGCAATAATTCAGTCTGCAGGTGATGAATGAATGGATCATTGTGCTTAGATAGATCCTCCACTGAGACAAAGAAGCACAGCGTTCTAGTGAGCTGGAAGTGGAAGAAAGTATTTATCGTTGTTAGAGAGACAAGGTGGTTGAGGTAATGTCTTTTATTGTTGTTACATGCATGTCTAGGATTAGCAATGAGTCCAATAGGACTCTAAGATTTCATTCTAATTTGGCAAATGGAGGGCGCAAGCTTTTGACAGAGGAAGAAATTAGTAGCACAATGTGGGAGCAGCTCACTCTGCCTTCCAACGTGAGAGAAAACTGATCAAAACAATATTGATTGCATTGTTTTTGTATTTTAATCTGAGTTAAAATATGAATGGAGGAGTACAGAGACTTTCAAGGGAAGAGAATAAAGAACAGGAGTACTTGTGGCACCTTAGAGACTAAGAAATCTATTTGAGCATAAGCTTTCATGGGCTAGAGCCCACTTCATCGGATGCATGCAGTGGAAAATACAATAGGATGATTTTATATACACAGAGAACATGAAACAATGGGTGTTACCATGCACACTATAATGAGAGTGATCAGTTAAGGTGAGCTATTACCAGCAGGAGAGAAAAAAAACCTTTTGTAATAATCTAGATAATCTAGATGGGCCATTTCCAGCAGTTGACAAGAACGTGTGAGGAACAGTAGCGGGGGAGGAGGGAGAATAAACATGGGGAAATAGTTTTACTTTGTGTAATGACACATCCACTCCCAGTCTTTATTCAAGCCTAATGTAAAGGTGTCCAGTTTGCAACTTAATTCCAATTCAGCAGTCTCTCACTGGAATCTGTTTCTGAAGTTTTTTTGTTGTAATATTGCGACTTTTAGGTCTGTAATCAAGTGACCAGAGAGATTGAAGTGTTCTCCGACTGGTTTTTGAATGTTATAATTCTTGACGTCTGATTTGTGTCCATTTATAACAAAATTCTGAAAGAGCTGTCATCTTTGCGGGACAGCCCAGAGATTGTCTGAGTGCTCCCTAGAGTCAATTGGAATTCCACCTGGGGGGCTCACAGGGTCATGCGTCTCACTCCCACCATGACTATTAATATTATACACTGGGTACAGTGCAATCCCTACGTTCTTGCTTGTGTGAGAGAAAGAAAGAGTGTGGGGCAGAGAGAGACAAACAGAAATTCCATATTTGGCTCTTAATGAGATTCTTTGAATATGCCTATATAATCAATTAGTGTCCCCTTGCAGCCAACTGCAGGGGCACTGGAACAATTTTTTATAGTGGGGATGCTGAGAGCCATTGAACCAAATTGTAAACCCCCTGCACCCCTAGTTCCAGCACCTATGGCCAACTATAACTAATACACAGTATTTATATGTATTTGCAGGTTGGCAACTGAGGCATTAGGCACCTTTCAGAATCTCATCTGGAGAGGCTGTGTGACTTGCTTATGGTCTCACTAGAAGTCTGCAGCAGAGCTAAAAGAAAAGGAGTACTTGTGGCACCTTGGAGACTAACAAATTTATTTGAGCATATGCCACAAGTACTCCTTTTCTTTTTGCGGATACAGACTAACACAGCTGCTACCCTGAAACCTGTAGCAGAGCTGTTTCCAGTACCAGCAGCCTAGAACCTCCTGTGTTCTCATGGATGTCCTGCCTCCTGTCGGTGACAGTCAAATGAGCAGCATTCAGTTAAACTAGCAGTAAGTTCAGGAGGCCTGTCAGGTTCTAATGCAGCATGCAGTTGCCCTCACCCTCATAACTGAACTGAGGTCTGCAGGCCAACTAGGAAAGCGCTTGTGCTGGTACTCGGCCTAACGTCCTGTTGCCCCATATAGGAGTTAACTCCCCACTGAGCAAATGGAGCTGTTGACTCCTCTCAGAGCTACCGCCTCAGGCCGCCACGGCAGCATCATTGACACCCCGCTCGTAGCTGGCTCCCTTTGCAATGACAGGGGGCTAGAGGCGCAGGCTGATCATGGAGGGCAGCTCAGGTTTAGCACAAAAGACACACACCTGCGTGGTTGTGGGTAGCCTGGTCCCCCTGGGCCAACTAAGCTCCTTATCCCCCATACTGCATGTCCCTGCGCGCCCGCCCCACATTGTCCCCTCTGGGCACCAGCAGCCCCTGCTGGCACGTCCCGCGCTGAGTGTGGGCCAGCCAACTACGGCTCCCAGCATGCCCTGCGCCCATGGTTCGGAACCGCAAATCGAGACTACAAATCCCAGCGTGCCCCACGGCGAGAAGGCGAGTCCCCTGCTGGTGCAGCACTCGACTCTCTCTCTGGGAAGCCCGCGGGGCGCGCACCGCCGGAGTCCTCTCTCACCGGCCAATAGGAGAGAGGTGCACGTGCCGCCTCGTGGCTCATTCGGATCCATGCGCGCGCGGGCTGCTAAACGATATGATTGGTTCTTTCTTCGCGGAGCGGGGGGGGCGGGGCTGAGAGGGAGAGGATTCGGGGAGGCCGCTGACGCGTGGGCGGGGAAGCAGCGGCGTCCGGCCCGAGCTCAGAGGCCTCGTTGGCGGGCTCGCCTCCTCCTCCCCCCCCCGCCCCGCCATGCCGAACCGCAAGGGCGCGCGCAACGCCTATTACTTCTTCGTGCGCGAGAAGCTGCCCGAGCTACAGCGGCGCGGCCTGCCCGTGGCCCGCGTGCCCGACGCCATCCCGCTCTGCTCGTGGGACTGGGCGGTGAGCGGGGCCTGGGCAGAGCCGCGCGTGGGCTGCAACCCGGCTAACCCCGCGGGCCGGGCCGGGCCGGCGGGACCCCCCGCGGGAGGAGCGGCCAGGGCTGGACTCCCCGCATACTCTCATGTGCATCTCCCCCCCCCCCAACCCCGGGCGTGCATCTGCCCCCATCACCACCACCCACAGTCCAACCCCAGGTGTGCACGCTCTCTTCTGCCCCCCCAACACACACCCTCCAATCCCGGGTGTGCATCCCCCCCAGCACCCTGCCCCAACCCCGGGTATGCATTTCTTCCCTGCCCCCCAAGCACACACCCTCCAACCTCAGGCATACATCCCCCTATACCCCCCCCAATTCTGGGCATGCATCCCTTCATACACCCCCTCCCCCAACTCTGGGCATACATTCCTCCCCTCCAACCCCAGCTGTGCATCACCCCCATACACACACGTACCCTCAATTCCGGGCATGCATCCCCTCTGTACGCCCTCCTCCAATCTTGGGTGTGCATCCCCCCCATACACACTCCAACCCTGGGTGTGCATCCCCCCATATACACACATACCCCCAACCATGGATGTGCATCACCCCCATACACACACTCACAGACACCCAACGCTGGGTGTGCATCACTACCATACACACGTTCCCCCCAACCCTGGGCTTGTATTCCCCCCATACACACTCATCCAACTCTTGGCGTATATCCCCCCCCATACACACACACCCAACCCTGGGTGTTCATACTCCCCCAACACAAGCATCCTCCAATCCTGGACGTGTATCCTCCCCACCAACAAACACACACACCCTGCCCCAGATGTGTATTCCCCCCATTACCTTCTCCCAACACCTACCCCTGGGCATGCACCCCATCTACAAGTCCTTCCTCTCTCCTCCCCCTTCCCGCCCCGGGCACACACTCCTCTATACCTCCACACAAACACTCCATCACTTTTCCATGCTGCATAGAGATCCTCTCTGGGATGAAATGTCTTCCTCTTTAGCTAGAGAAAGGCAGGAGGAAATGCTTTTTCTCTTTTCTGTTCATGGTGTTTGTTATGTCTAATCCGAGTTGCATGTTTCCTGACTTTACTCAGTTTTAAAGGGACTCTCTTGCGGGGAGTGGGTAACTGGGTTTGAGCTGCCCAATGTGGATGTGACACTATTAAGATGTAAATAGTAGACAGTTCTTTGATATGTTAAGTAGAAACATCTTTAACTATTAAAGGGATTTAAAATCCAATTCTCTTCACTATTTATACTGTTTTAATTTTTTCCATGTTATTGGTGAATCAGTGAGGTTTGTCTTCTAGGTTTTCAATATTGAAGTTTCTAAATTATAAATAGTACAGGATAAGGAAAAATTATTTCACTTAGAATTTTTTTAAAAGGACACTTTAAACAAAAGTTTAAAAATGCTTATTACTAAATCTAAAATTTGGGACAAATATGCCATTCTTTAAAGGGGAACAAAAACAAGTCTGAATATAGAAATGTAATTTTGCATTTTTAAAAATAGATTAAAATCTTGATCCTTAATTTTAAGCATGTATGTCAGTGTTTGCTGGATTTGATCTATGGGAACAAAACATTTTGCCAATACCTAAAAGCTAGTAAGTGAAACTGACCAGTCTGGTTTCATAGCCCAAGTTGAAGAAAAGGCAAAATGTTAACAAATGGCATTAGTAAAAGAGTGAATTAGATTACTAAAATTCTTTTATTTATGCTCGGGCATAAATACTCAAACTTATTTGATCGGGCCCCCCTTTTTTGTGTCTGTAGTTGTTTAGGCCTCTGCTCCCACCACACTGGTACATATACTGCTGCCCAGCTCTGAAGTCAGAGTGGATGCCACCCTTACTCCTCTGCTGCTGCTGGCGATGGTGCTGCCTTCAGAGCTGAGTGCCTGGCCTTTCCAGCTGCCCAATTCTGAAGGCAGAGCGGCTTCTCAGCCCCCGCCTTCGAATACGTTCTGTTCCTCCTGCCCCCTCCCCCCCCCCAATTTGAGAACCTCTGTGCTAGGGTGTGGCTAGTAGCACAAGATCAGTGTGTTAAAATATTCATTAACCTGATTTTGGCCCTTAGTCTCGCAGCTTTATTAATAGTGCATAATCTCTCCCCCGGTGCCCACTTTAATATTAAAAAAAAACCCAACAATCTCTTTCTACTAAGAAATTCACTTGCCATCTGGCCCTAATGGTGTATCAGCCAGTACTGGCTCAATCCAGCTCCATAGCTGCTTTATCTCACCTACTCTAAGTCAAATACTACTTATTCTCCTAGAACTTTCTGGATTCTGGAGCAAGTTTGTCTTCTTAGAAGGAAATGGTCAGAAAATAACTTATATAACAATTTTATTCCCAGTTGTTGACTCAGGATGAAAAGGAGAAATATGCAGAGATGGCTCGTAAATGGAGAGCAGAGAACTCCACCCAGGCATCAGTGAAACAGGTAAATGGGAAGGTAGAAGAAGAAACCTGGAATTTGGAGTGGGCTGAATAAGAGGAGTAACACAGTTGCAGGGGTTGGTCAAAAATTGTGGCACACAGGGCCACCCTAAAAACTTACAAGAAGCCTATCTTCTGCCCCTTTTCCTTTGTTAGTGTAGAAATATGCATGGCTATAATATTAGTTTGTAATTGTATCTTCCTTGGTAGTCCAGAAATGTCTTGAATTTACCAACAATGTAAACCTATAGTTTACCATCACCCTACAACTACTCTTAAATGGAGGAGAGAGCCTGCAGTTCAGTATTCTGCCACACTGTGGACTTTTCCTCCAGAGTCTGCCTTACTCTGGATTTGGGGTTGAAGCATAACTTTCAAAGCTTCGTTTCTGACAGCCGGCTGCTTATCTGTCCTGGGACAAAGCAAACCATTACTGTGGAATGCTGCTGCTGCTGCAGAGTCAGGCGCTTGCACGTGTGTGTGAGAGAGAGGGTGGGGGCTGATGTCGGCGTTTCCCCCTGCCGCTGTCTGAACTTGCAAGACAGCACGCTGACACACTCTCTGCCCCCCAAAACCCACTGTCTCTCCCCCTGCATACACACAACACAGTCCCTGTCACACTCCACTCCCTCTCCCCCCATTTGAAAAGCACGTTGCAGCCACTTGCGTGCTGGGATAGCTACCACAATGCACTGCTCTTTGTGGCGTTGTAAGAGCTGCTAACGTGGCCATGCCACTGCACTTGCAGCTGACGGTGTGAACACATGGCAGCGCTTTCCTGCTGCTGTCTCTGAGGGCTGGTTTAACTCCCGGCACTCTACATCTGCAAGCATAGCCATAGCCTTACACTAGTGCAACTTCTGTATATAGTTTATTGACTATTGTGCATTTCAGGACATAATGATTTTCTTCTTAGCTCTGCCAAGTAGTATATTTTTATTGTGGTTCTTTATATGTATGCAAGAAGACAAGATCCATACCTCAAAGAGCTTATTTGTTTCCAGTTTAAATTGGTAGCACAAAATTTCTCTTAAATGGGTCAGAACAAAAAACAATCCAAGCAGAACCCTGCTTTATGTTCCATGCAGTTTCATTTTATGGACAATATCTTATTTACTGGTGTAACTCACAACTGGGTTCCAGTTATGAGGTGGACTTGTTACCCGGGGTTCTTTCAACCCAAAGCTCTTGGTAATTTTTACTCTCTGCGAGGTGGTGTCAGGAAATAAATCGGGGAGACACGGCCGTCCAACCGATAGATGGCTGGCACAAACAGGACAACACAAGAATGCTTTCACTTAAAACTAAACTTTACTTCGTCTCAAGCACTTATACACACGTCTGCAACAAGTTAGTAAAACACCCCCAACCCTTGATAATTACCAAAGCTGAGTGTGGCTCTCGAGTGGCACAGTGGCAGCCCATCTGCTAGTGGGGAACACAAGATGCATCCAGAGGGAGAGTCCAGTCCTGAAGAGTCCCGCTACCTCCAACTTTTCCCCCTTATTTATACATTAGTAATAGAATGACATGTTCCTTAAAGCAAACGTGTTAAGTAAGCAGTTTCAGTGGTCAAGTGGGAGGTTCCTTCTGATTATCGATTAACCAGGTGTGGGTTTTTCCACCGTTTGCACCCTTGAGGCCCCAATAGACATTCCTGGGGCACATCCTGCTCTTCTAAGATGCATATATCAGCAACTTCAACACAATTCTTATCAGGAAGGACGTGGTGTCAAGCTGACCTCTCTATGGCACCCAAAAAGTCCTTTCCCCTCCTGCCTTGGTTAAGCTAAGCCTGCTGACTTGGCTGCTTTTAGCAATAAGCCATAGTGGTTTCAGGCACTTTACTGGTTTGCCAAAGTCTCCCCGTACAGACTGTACCCTTGAATTCTTACTAGGACATTTGTCTTTCCCTGGGAACAGCGGTTATCTAGAACGCTGATATGCGTTAGTGATTCTGAAAACACTAAGTAGTGCAAGAGACCTGATATCTCTAAAGGGTGGTCATGATTTGAAGAAACTCTTATAACATGTTATCTCAGTAGGTAAGGAGACTTGGATCATGCTTCCTGTGTTGGGAGGTCTTGCAGGTGGGGGAATGGGATCTGTCCTCCAAAACATTTCTAGTTACAGCTTATCTGTCAGGAAGGGGAATGAGGAAGACTGAGTCGTATCTTCGTAGCTGAACACAATTGGTCTGTGGATCATGGTGTAATAGATCAGAACTCTCCCGGTGTCATCTTCTAGAGATGAAGAGTTCTTTAACTTGAACTACCACTCTCAAGTCTCCTGGTATTAGTAGAAAAGACAGTTAATGTTGGACACCTTTGTTCTCTGGGAATGGACGTGTCTGTGTCTATATGCTGGCTACTCTTGGAGTCAGAGGTCCTGGCATCATTCAGGAGATAAAAGTTTTTGAAGATCCTGTTAGCGTCTTACCAACTTACATAGGATTGGTTTTCAGCTTTCTTGCAGGTGGCCTAAACTGATATCAACAGGCTGAGTCTAGCACACTTGGCGCACATCCAGCCATACCTCGGTGCATTCTCTCTGACAACTCGGCTCCTGTCAAGGTGGAAATCTGTAGGCAAGCAAGTCTCAAAGCAGGTGGCTTGAATCACTTTGTCCTCAGTGGCCTTCTCTTTGCCAATGGGTGAGATCTGGTGTGTGTTACCTATGGGCCCATAAACCCCTTTACTTGCTCTGCACAAGAGCTGTCTGAATACTTCCTTAAGTCATCGTTAAACTGCTTTTCATGAACAAGTGACCTTGTCAAAGACACGACAATGTCTCTCCAGCCTTTTTTCATCAAATTCATTTGAGGCTTGACATTTTGAAACCCCTAGGTCACACTGTCTGGAGTGGCTCGCGACTGAGTGTGCCTACCTCAGGGGAGATGCCCCAAACTGGTGGTGTGTTCTAGAATTAGATGTCACCAAGCCAGTATTAAATGTGAACTCCTGGATCACTATAATAGTCTTACCATGGAGTCACAGACAGTCTCCCAGACTCTCAAGCCTGTCTTGCCGCTCAGACAAACTGCAGTTAGTGATAAATGGTCACTTATACCAAGAATCACTCCACGTTCAGGTTGCTTCCAGTCCCAAGAGACCAGTCATTCACCCTCAGGTGAATTGGTACCCTAGATCTTACACTAGAGACAACCGCTATAGCCAATCCTGTAATGAATTGTTTAAGGTTATGTCTACACTATCACTTTTGAAAAAAACACCCCTCTGAGTGACATAAGTTACACCAACAGAAGCGCCGTGTGGACAGCTCGTTGGAGGTGGTTTAATTATGTTGATGGGAGAGCTCTATCCCGTCAGCATAGAGTGGCTAAACGAGTGATCTTACAGCGGTGCTGCCGTAAGCTCACTCGTGTAGACATGGCCTATAGGTTTGTTAGCTAGGAAAAAGCAATGTGAGAGTTATTTGCAGGTTAAAGCAAGCAATAACACACCAGTGAGTTACCATTTAAATCCTAAGAGTGACAGAGTTCTAGTGATCTGTCAATTCAAAGTGTCTTTCAGGGCAGATTCAGGGGTAACCACTGGGAATCTCTGCCTCAGCTTATAGCATCTGGCCCTGTCAGAGTTCAAACAGCGAGGAGAGAAATGGAAAATTTTCCTGTGACTGTTTTATTTCCTTCATTCAACTTCCATGCCAACAGGAGGAGCTTCCTTGCAGGTAGCATTTCCCAGGTGTGAGAGAGCCATTAACCAGTCCTTTGAATTGTGATGGTCCTTGATGACCCATTTGATTTTGATAGTCCTTCTGAATGGGTGGGGGGTGATTCCCGGGATTGAGGGCATAGCTACACTGGCTCAAAGTGCTGTTGTGGGAGCACTCATGTAGCGGCGCTTTGAAGTGCGAGGTGTGGTCACACAGGAGCGCTGGGAGAGAGGTCTCCCAGTGCTCCTGATAATCCACCTCCACGAGGGGATTAGCTCCGAGTGCTGGTAGCGCGGCTCCCAGCACTCGGAGCCTGTTTACACTAGCGCTTTAAAGCACTCTGACTTGCTGCGCTCTGGGGGGTGATTTTTCACACCCTGGAGCCAGCAAGTTAGAGCGCTATAAAATGTACGTGTAGCCAAGTCCCAAGTTTGCAAGTTCAGAGCAAACGTTTTTAAAGTTATACAGACATTACAAATGAGATTAATGCATGCAGCAACTTACAAGTGTTTCAGAGTCTTAAACGCTAAATACATTCTTATAAGACTAATACCTATTTTGAGCAAAACTTACAGGTGACCTGGTCTGGTTTCCAGCTACAAGATTGTCAGTTCTTATCTAATGCCTGCAGCCTGGATAAGAGCTGGCATCTGGCCTGCCAGTGGCACACCCTGTTAAAAATCTTTGGTGTCACATAACAAATATGATCCCGAGAAAGCTAAAGAAAAGTTCCTTTTGAGCCTTTCAGTACTCAGAGACAGAAGTTTTGTGATAACCATCACCAGGAAGTGTACTATCTCTACTCCTAGGATGCTTTCAGGTTTTAATGACTAATCTGCCTTTATATTACGTTTTACAAAGTTATAGTGGTGGTACAGAATCTTCTGACAACATTTCTGCCCAAGAAGCCAACTTCCACTTTCATCCTGCCTACATCCTTCGCACGCATGCAACCCCATCCTGGCGAGGCCCTTCTCTGCATACTTGACTTTCAAGATCCTGGGCAACTTTACTTGGGGGAAAATGAAACCCTTAGGTGAACTTTTTTTGTTTTGCTAATCACTTATCTCTGAGGTGGGGGGGGGGGATCTCTCTTCAGTCATACTGAACTCTTTCCTAAAGTAAGGAGAATCCAAACAATTCCATTGCTTATAATTTCTTTTTTGGGATGTCTTTACTGAATTTGACCAATTTTTGGAGGAGTTCTTCGCTGGTATACATTCTGGTCATGTTCATGGTTAAACTTACTATTTCAGGACATCCCTTGAACTTACCTCCTCTCCAGTGTTGGGAATGTGCATTAAATAATATCTTTAAGGAAGGGAAAATTGCTTACCTTGTAATTCTGCTTCTCCAGCAATGTTGTCATGCTTGTACACCTCAGAGTTTGAGGGGTTCAGTTGATAATGTAATGTCCTTTGTTCACACAGTGAGCACTCACTTCTACATTGTTGATTACATGTTCTGAGAAGGTTGACTTCCTCTGTACTAAAGAAAAGGAGCACTTGTGGCACAGACTAATACTAATACGGCTGCTACTCTGAAACCTGTCATGTTCCTCTGTACTGTTTTCTTAAAAAAGAAGATTGGTGTAAGGGAGAAGTGTGTAGGTCTCTTACATATAATTGAAGTTTGAGGAGCTCTTCCTTCCACATTTTAAAGGGAGCTAGTTTAAATGTTCTGTGGCCGCTGATGTTCCTGAAATTAGAGCATGCTCTGGGGGCCAGAGCTCTGAGGCCAGCCTAGCGGTGCATCAGAAGGTAAAAAACCCTAAGAGTAATGAGAATCTTTTCATGACTTGTACTGGAGACACAAGACCCGAAATTGAGAATCCTGCATGATACCTTCAGAAAAGCAATAAATTGGCATTACTTCCCTGCTTACCCTGTAATTCTAACTTCTGAAATATTGTGTAATAATGACTAATAAAGTTGATGTGAAAGAAATTATGTCTTTAGCCTGCTCTTTACAGGCTTTTCAATTAGGGGGAAAAAATGGAAAACTGTGTTAGACTTTCATCCCTTCCCCTAGGATGTGTTTATAGGCTTGGGAGATGATGGCTTCCTTCTGTGTGACAAATCTAAACGTGGATGAAATGCCCTTCTGTGGATGTTCTTTTTTAATTCAGAGGCTTGGCTATAGTTCTTTCTGTGTGTTGGTAAATTGGTGTGGGCACCACTAATATCCTTTGTGTCAGAGGAGAAAACATGCCTGCTCCTAATCTGCCTGCGTACTGCAAACTGCCTGCATACTGCAAACTGTGGTCAGGTGGGTTTAGAAGGAGCAGTGCTGCCATCCATTCATAGAGGGCAAAGAAGGAGCTATATTATGGTCCTTCTCTGACTGGAGGAGCAGACTATGTACTTAACTCTATTTTGTTTTCTCCCGCCTCCCCATCAGATTTCTCCGGTTCCTGCACCACTGCCCATGCAGATACAGAGAAGCGCTTCTGTTTCAGATGCCACCAGTCTTTCTTGGAAGAATGATCAGGGTAGAGTAAACCTAAAGAAGCTTAATCCTAAGGATCTCGTAGTGTTGGATGACTTCCATAAGGAGCAGAATTGCTACATCTGGCTTACAGGCCTTACCTGGAGAAAGTGGGAAATTCATGTTTAATTTAGATCTGAATATATTTAATATGTCAGACAAAAATTAACTTAGTTAAAATAACTATTCATAAGTTGTCCTACAGTAACAAAGGATTTCATAATAGAAATGTAGTTCACAATGGTCAGGGGGCAGTTTCTGCCCACAAACGTCTGGCTGTACCTCCTTTTAAACTTAATGGGAGTTGCATGTACATATTTGAAGACAGAATAAGGCTCTTAATGTCTGTAAATGGTTGGAGATAAACCGAAGTGAACTGTTGCAGGAAAGCATTTCTGTTGTAACTTCCGTTTCATTAGGGATATACAAGGCCTAGTCCAGACTTTGGCTACCTGTGTGCTTATGTCAAGTATAACAGGGTAGGAAGTTTTTAGATGTCTGAGTGGAAGCTCAGAACAACAGTATAGACACTGGATAACAGGACAGCCTAGCCTGGGAGAAAGCTATTGTGTCAGCCAATGCTGTACTTGCACATTGGCTGGCTGGTGTCTTATTAAATAGAAGCCTGAAAAGCCAATCTGTTCCCATCTGCATTTCCGTGTAAAACTGATACTGAGATCGGCACTGACTAGCAGCAAAGGAAACACTCAGAGCACTGCCACAGTGCACTTCACCCTGCCTCTAAGAAGCTCTAGTATAATATACAGTAGCACTTACAAAATGCTATAAACAGTCAAGCCACCAGCCAAGATACATAAAACTTGTGCAAGCACTAAGTAAAACCTTATTGAAGAGAGAATGGGCTAGGCTGGGGGTGAAGGAATACCCTTCATCTCTGTTTCAGTGACAATTATCTGTATAGTTTTCACTGACTGAAGTCAATATTTTAGTAGTTTGGACCTGTTGCTATGCTAAGTCTATGAACATTCGTTCTTGTTTGTATCATACATAACCTGTCACATATTATTGCTCTGTTATTTTAGAGGTGAGCTTTCTCTAAGGGCTCTTTGATTCTTTTCAGCCCCTCCACAGTGTAAAAGCACTATATCCTTAGTTCAGTCTGCCTCCTGCTGGATTTGGTTGAAGCTTAATGTGCTGTTTAGAGTTCCTGGTATCGGTGGCATTTCCCATCCCTACTTAAAGAGACAATGTTGGAGAGCTTTATTGGAGGGAGGTATGAGTGGTGGTGTTGATGGATTCCAGGCCCCTGGCGTTCTTGTTAACCTGTGCTGTGATATTTACAAAACAATACCATCTGAATTAACCTGGAGGTGAACTGTGACCGCAGAATCTCCTGATTTATGCAAAAGTGTCCTTTTAACGGTTATCTTGTCCTCCCACATGTTTTGTCCAGTTGTTATCCCGTGTCTTTACTCAGTTGTGTGGCCTAACATAGTGGGACCTTGATCTTCGATTGGGACAGATAAGTGCTGCTGCAGTATAAATAATAATGTTCACTGGATGGAAAAAGACTTGCTTGTTCTCTCCTCTAGTGACCCCTGAAAATTTCTCCTTCCAGCTGTGCTTGGGAACATCTTCTACTTCCTGAACATTTACAGTCATGGTGAGCTGCCCTCTCCCTGTGAGCAGCGCTTCCTCCCTTGTGAGATTGGCTGTGTCAAATATTCACTACAAGATGGCATAACAGCAGACTACCACCGCTTTGTAGATCCTGGTGAGCCTTAAGGGACGGAGGGGAGGAAACTCATCATTTCAGTTGTGTGGAAGGATGAAGACTTTTTAATCTCACCTCTCCCAGCCCAGTTCTAGTTTCTAGCATAAGACACGGTCCTGTTTCCAGGTGTTCAGCATTTTAGGTAGATAGTAGCAGCATAAATGCCTGTGGTTAAAGCTGCCTTCTACTAAAGTCTGCAGAAAGGTGGCCTTTGGCATCCAGACTGAGTGAGAACTTGGAGGGTAAAAGAAATCTTGTGAGAAAGTAGTTGAAATAAAATCCTTTACGAAGCTGTCTGGCCATCAGCTGGAAGAAAAACTACTGTGTAGGTGGGAGGCTGCACGCTTGTGTATGTTGGATTTAATAGTAAAATGCATTTGCCTAGATGGGGCCAAAACACAGAGGTATGCAGCAGGTTGTAAAATGTGTGTATTGTGCAAATGAGTATAGCTAAGAAAATGTTTTAAATAAGTGGACATTCATGGCAGTTATGCAGGGACACATGATGATAGATAAAGCTGTTAACTAAGCTGTTAACCTGTTATGGGATAAGAGGGAAGGTCCTCTCATGGATTGGTAACTGGTTAAAAGATAGGAAACAAAGGGTAGGAATAAATTGTCAGTTTTCAGAATGGAGAGAGGTAAATAGTGGTGTCCCCCAGGGGTCTGTACTGGGACCAGTTCTGTTCAACATATCCATAAATAAAGGGGGTAAACAGTGAGGTGGCAAAATTTGCAGATGATACAAAACTACTCAAGATAGGTAAGTCCCAAGCAGACTGCAAAGAGCTACAAAAAGATGTCGCAAAACTGGGTGAGTAGGCAACAAAATGGCAGATGAAATTCAGTGTTGATAAATGCAAAGTAGTGCACATTGGAAAACATAATCCCAACTATACATATAGAATGATGGGGTCAAAAGTAGCTGTTACCACTCAAGAAAGAGATCTTGGAGTCATTGTGGATAGTTCTCTGAAAACATCCACTCAATGTGCAGCGGCAGTCAAAAAAGTGAACAGAATGTTGGGAATCATTAAGAGAGGGATAGATACCGTAATAAGGCAGAAAATATCATATTGCCTCTATATGAATCCATGGTATGCCCACATCTTGAATACTACATGCAGGTGTGGTCGCCCATCTCAAAAAACATATATTGGAATTGGAAAAGGTTCAGAAAAGGGCAACAAAAATGATTAGGGGTATGGAACGTCTTCCATATGAGGAGAGATTAATAAAACGGGGACTTTTCCACCTGGAAAAGAGACGACTAAGGGGGGATCTGATAGAGGTCCATAAAATCATGACTGGTGTGGAGAAAGTAAATAAGGAAGTGTTATTTACTCCTCATAACATAAGAACTAGGGGTCACTAAATGAAATTAATAGGCAGCAGGTTTAAAACAAACTAAAGGAAGTATTTTTTCATACAACGCACGGAGAACCTGTGGAACTCCTTGCCAGAGGATGTTGTGAAGGCCAGGACTATAACAGGATTCAAAAAAGAACTAGATATATTCATGGAAGATCAGTCCATCAGTGGCTATTAGCCAGGATGGGCAGGGATGTGTCCCTAGCCTCTGTTTACCTGAAGCTGGGAATGGGTGGCAAGGGGTGGATCACTTGATGATTACCTGTTCTGTTCATTCCCTCTGGGGCATTGGTCACTGTCGGAAGACAGGATACTGGGCTAGATGAACCTTTAGTCTGACCCAGTATGGCTGCTCTTATAGCACAACGAGGTATTGTTCATTATTTAGAGTTTGTATATCTGTTTCTTGCTTGATAATGTGTATTCTCTCTGCCCTCTTGCAGGAGTGGTGCCACGTGGCTTTCGGTTTCATTGTCAAGCAGCAAGTGAGTATCGGAGGAGGAAAGGGGTGGGATACAGGGTTTGGAAGTTTCATTGGCTTGTGTACACCAGTCCTTTAAACATTTGCCTTGCTTGTGAGAAGTGATGCTTCTCTAAGAACTATGCATCTCGCGTCCAAGAGAGAGATGGGCACTAGAGCAAACTGCCTGAGGGATTTCATAATGCTGTGTCTTCCATAGACCATAAACTCTTCTTTGTGAATAACTAGTCATTAAAGAACCTCTGACACTTCTAATTAATGATGGTGTCTTACCCAAACGTCCATTGTGGGTAATCATGTTCTGTTGGCTATGATCTGCCCTCCACACGGAATTCCAGTTAGCTTCAGTATTTCTGTCCTAAACGACTGTGTAACTTCAGTGCATGATGTTTCGTAGCTGTCGTTTCCATCTCTGAGGTGGCTGTCTTTCGGTGGTGGGTAAAGCATCTCCCCCGTGTGTGTGCGCATAGCTTGTAAAAAATAAATAAATGGATAAAAAAATACACTGGAACCTTGTTTTTTCCCCAAACTGGAAGATGCTAATATAAAGTATCATTATTAAAGAGGAACCTCTAGAAATACAAACCTAATACTTCTCCATGCAGCATTGACATTCAGCAAGTAAAGTATTCCTACAACCCTGTCGGTTGGCCCTCTGTACTATTTTAACTTCTACTGCATTGTTTTTACCTTTCCCTTATATCACCATTTGAGCAGTGTTTATAGATTCCAGTTAGTGGACTTCCTGTCCCTACACACACTGCTAACGGACACAGCTCCTGCCTCCCTTTATCAAAATACTTGGGTAACTCTCTCTTTAAAGCAGCGTAGGGCTCTCACCTCAGATCATCCCAGATCTTTGGGGAAAATAAGTAGGTGCATGTTAAAGGTGAGGTTCTGGTGGGTGCATGAATCTTGCAGATTTTACCTGTGGATGGTAGGTAGGACTGGGAATGGAGAAAGCAGTGCGTTTCTTTAAAAAATAAAAAAAAAATTTAAAAAATGGACTGCTTATATCCCATTTTTCTCTCTCTTCATTAACCTCTATTAGGTGATGCCACTCACAAGATCCCCATCTCTGGTTTTGAGCTCTCAAATGCTGGTCACCCTGTTGTGTTACGTGAACTTTACACGTTTGTTCAGCCAAACTGCGGCAGATGGCCACCTGTGTACTGCAAGGTAGAATCCAGCCCCGTCCAAGTTAGGGCAGCCCTTCAAAACACACAGTCCTATTGTAGTTGCCAAAAGAAGCCTTTATAGCAGGGGTAGGCAAGCTTTTTGGCCCGAGGGCCACATCTGGATGGGGAAATTGCATGCAGGGCCATGAATGTAGGACTGGTGCAGGAGGGAGTGTGGGAGGGGGTGTAGTGTGCAGGAAGGGGCTCAGGGAAAGGGGTTGGAGTGCAGGAGGGGTGCAGCGTGCGGGAGGGGGCTCAAGGCAGGCGTGCAGGAAGGGGTGCGGAGTGTGGGAGGGGGCTCAGAGCAGGGGGTTGGGGACTCAGGGCAGGGGGTTGGGGTGCAGGAGGGGTGCGGTGGGGGCTCAGGGCAGGGGGTTGGGAGCTCAGGGCAAGAGACTGAGGTACAGGAGGGGTGTGGGGTGCAGGAGGAGGTTGGGGTGCAGGAGGAGGCTCAGGGTTGGGGGTGCAGGAAGGATGTGGGGTGTGGCGGGGGGTTCAGGGCAGGGGGTTGGGGTGCAGGCTCCCTGCCTGCCCTAGCCCCGTGCCTCTCCTGGAAGTGGCCGGCACCATTTCCCTGTGGCCCCTGTGGGGGGCAGAGGGCTGCTCGTGCTGCCTTTGCCTGCGGGTACTTCCCCCGAAGCTCCCATTGGCCGCAGTTCCCTGTTCCTGGCCAATGGGAGCTGCAAGGGGCGGTGCCTGCAGGTGAGGGGCTGCAGAGATGTGGTGCCGGCCACTTCCGGGAGCGGTGCAGGGTCCGCGGCGCCACAGGGGTGGCCATCCTGCAGGCCAGATCCAAAGCCCTGATGGGCCGGATCCGGCCTATGGGCCGTAGTTTGCCCACCCCTGCTTTATAGTATGGGTGGGGAATCTTTGGCCCGCTGCTTAATTTAATCCAGCCTGCGACAAGTCTCTGTGCCGCGGGCTGGAAGCCCCAAGCCTCAGCGCCCCCCGTGGGGGTGGAGCCGCAAGCACCAGCTCAGCCCGCTGTGGGGGGAAGGCCATTAAAAGTCCGGTCAGCTCCGTGCAGCTCCCGGAAGCGGCTGGCATGTTCCTGCAGCCCTTAGACGCAGGGGCAATCAGGGAAGCTCTGCATGCTGCCCCCCCCAGCGCTGGTTCCACAGCTCCCATTGGCTGGGAACTGTGGCCAATGGGAGCTGTGGGGGCGGGCCGCATTCACAGTGCAAAGCCTCCTGGCCATGCCTCCACCTAGGGGCTGGACATGCCAGCTGCTTCTGGGAGCAAAGTAAAGCCAGAGCAGGCAGGGAGCCTGCCTTAGACCCACTGCGCCACCGACCAGGAGCCACCTGAGGTAAGCGCTGCCCGGTCGGAGCCCACAGCCTGAACCCCTAGCCCCAGATTGGAACCCCCTCCCGCACCCTAATTGCCTCCCAGAGCCCGCACCCCCTTCTGTACCCCAATCCCCAGCCCTGAGCCCCCTCCCGCACCCAAACTCCCTCCTGGAGCCTGCACCCTGAACCTCCTCCAGCACCCCACCCCTCTGTCCCAGCCCTGAGCCTCCTCCTGCACTCTAAACCCCTTGGCCCCAGCCTGGAGCCCCCTCCTGCACCCCAAACCTCTCATCCTGAGCCCCACCCCCAGAGTCTGCACCCCCAGGCGGAGACTTCTTTTGAGACTCGGGGAGAACTTTCAGGAAGAGTGACAGTGGCTTTGTCCAAGAACTAAAGTAGCTGGAGAAGATGGTTTAGGAATGGCGGGGGGGCAATAACTAAACTCCACTCCATACCTGTAGTTGTGTTCTGGAGCATGTGACAGTGAAACGTTTTTCTCTCTAGTCTGATGATTGGTACAGAGTCAACTGGTGTCTGAAATGGATGGCTAAGGAAGCAGGTGAGAAGTAAATTTTTTAAGACTGCAAGGAGTCTTAGTATCTCGGCAGCGTCTCCTCTATCCCACCTATATTTGTCAAAGTTTCTGCCATTCCTTCTCCTCTTCTTGACTCGGCCTTCTCTGAATAACAGGCACTGAGAACCAGCTGGAGCTTCTCAGTGTGGAAAACCTGGTGGTGGAACTGTACCAGCGGAAACTTGGAAAGGAGCCTTCCAAGACCTGGGTGCGCAACCTGCTGGATGTCTTCATGTGGGATTACTGCAGTAACACTAGGTATGGCATTGGCTTATTTCCTGAACAGGGAGATGTTATAGTGCTAACTATCTGTTAGCCAGATGCTTTAAACTGTCCCTCAGTGCCCTGCACACATACACCTTTCTTACTTCAGTGTTAGGTTAGCTGAAAACTCTAGTCTCATCATTAAGGCTGGTCTTCCTTGGATCATAGCTCAGATGTGGCTGAAGGAAATGCGCTCTTGGACAGTATGTCTCTGATTTTTCAAGTATAAGCATAGATTTGAAGGCTGTGAAGCAGAGGCTTGTGGGTTTGACTTGAGAGTGGAAAGGGGTGAGGTGAGAATACTTCCATGTGCTTGTGTTTGAAAGAGAGAATCTCAAAATACGAATATCTTTGCTTCTTTGAAGTTCACAAATCCATTAAAATTGCACTAAGAAAAGGTTTGGAAGAATGTTTGCTTCATTAATAATCCATTGAATTATAGTAGTCAGATGTTTTTATTTGTACCCCATAAATTAAAATACAGGAAAATTATCGGAATTATACTGCTGGACTGTACATCCATTTCTGTCTGTCAAAATAGTTTTTGTTTATTTTAGTAGAGGTGCTTAGATTAGAAATCAGAGCCAGGTTCTTTTGTTTCATCCATGAAAATCTATTGACTTCACTGGGTTTTTATGGATATATCTGAGCAAAACACCTTATATTTGAATAAGATTCAGTTGTAGTATATTTCTTGCCTTACCTTCATTTTTTGAATGTGTATCATGGACAGCAAAGATAGGCTCCTTAGTTTCACTTTCAGGTTCTCATGCAGTAGCACAGTGCTGCAACATCTGGGCTGCAGATGCTGCAGGGGAAGTTTAAAGTGACACTGTTAATTTCCTTCTGACATTTTACGTGTTATTGTTATAGGTAACAACTAAGACTGTAAACTTTATAACTCTAAGATTATAGGAGAGAAATATCTGTCTGGTTTTGAGAGTTTTTGATGGCATTCTGTATAGTCAGTGTCACTGTTTCCTTTGTATAGTCATTTCCACCTGTTTGTGTGAGTCATTCACACACCAACAGGAAAAAGAAACTGTCCTTAAAAAATAAAAGGGGCGGGGAGAAACAGGTATAGTACCAAAAAACTACTTTTAAGTCTTTGAAATTAAAAAGACTTCAAGTGGATGGTTTTCCTTAAATTCCACTCTTCTTTTCTTTTTTAAGAAGAAAGAGAAAATGTCTATGAGGTTTTATAAAACTACAACCTGTTAGCTTGGGTCCCTAAGTTTACATTTAGTTATGTGACATGGTCCCTTTTTAAAATTTAACGTATGTTACTTTTGGGCACCAAGACTGTGCCAGGAGTTTTCTAGGTCTGATTTTAATTACACTGACTAGGAGAAAGGGAGGTTAGCATCAGCCAACAAGTTTCTAATCCAACTAGATTAATTATATCCATCTAAATTAAGGGTGTAGTTTTGTTTCTATTATGAACTCAGAAGAATTTCAATCTGCACTTAGGTGCAAGTGGCATGAAGAGAATGATATCCTGTTCTGCGCTTTAGCATCCTGCAAGAAAACTGCGTGAGTACTGTGAAGGGGATATGTCTGATATGTTGCAGACAATCCTTAGCTTCTGGACTCTCTAGCCCTGTGCATCTGGCTTCTCTACTCCTCTGAGGAAAGTTGTTCCCAAGTTGTCTTTTTCTAATGGCTTCCTTATCTCTGTAGGTATGTCTTCGTTCGTTTCTCTTATTCTTTTCTGTAATCTGAATATTAGCAACATGATCATAATATAATGTTCCCCCATGATATCAGTGCCTGCATAGACGGAGTTTGACTTCTATATTTGTGGGGGGCAAAGGGCTTAATACTATTAATAGGTATAGGTCTAACTTCTGGATTTATCAATTGTTAGTGGTACTTAAATTAGTGTATTTGAAATCGCAAATACAGTTTACATTCAGTATTTAATCACCCTTAATGTTTTGTTTTGACTTAATTATTTGCCACATTTACAAGCTGCCACTTTAAAAATTAACATTTACATAAAAACAAATTCTTGACTAAACAGAAATAAGTACTTTCATGTAACTATGAATTATGTCTCCCTGGTTTTAGAGATACGTAAATGTGCAATGCACACATCAAACAAATCCATTGGTAAAGCCTGTCCCCTTTGCCCATCTGCCTAAGCACATTCCACTCACATTTAACTTTTCCTGTTCACTCTCACTCACCTGGGCTTGACACTGTCAATGCAGTAACTGCGCAGACCCTTGGGAAGCAGCTCAGATCTTGTGTTCATTTGCTACAACGTTAGCGGCGCTGATTAGAAAGTGGCTCCGATGTCTAGATGCCTGTGTTTCTGGTTCAAGTCTCTTATTGCATAGGCTAGTAAAATTGAAAAGGCCCCAAGCTGGAGCTATGCTGTGAGGCATCAAGAACTGCTCTCCTGCCTTCCCCTTGCGCAGCCCAGGTGGGAATACCGACCGGGAAGCACCAAGGCCCTCGCGTCACCGTTCGCCACCCCAGATGTTCCTTCGTGCCCCCTAGGAGGCTGGGGGTGGGGGCAAGTAGCAACACTAGGCGCCCTGTGTGTCCAGCTCAGTTTCCCCACCTGGGCTGTGCTGAGAGGCATCAGGAGCTGCTCTCCTGCCCTCCCCTTACACAGCTCACATGGGGAAACTGACCTGGATGCACAGAGCGCCTGGTGTCACCACTTGCACCCCCTTCCTCCCCGTCCCCACCCAAACATTTCTCCGCAGGGAAGAAGCAGGGCCAAATAGAAAGGCGCTGTGCTTTTTGGAAGTAAAAGTAGGGGTAATTTAGGCAAATATCTATTTAAATAATTGCATTATCTCCCCAACAATTGGATATAGTAGCAGTCTTCCTGTTCAAACTGATTTAATAATGCAGTGCACCATTAAACAGTCATGTTTCATCCTGGGTGATGGGGGCAGTGATTCTTGTAGCTTCATGTATAATTTTTAAAGAAGATTGGCCTTTTTCTGGATGAAAGGATGATGATAGGATGTAGTCCTCATATCTCACCTTCCCTCCCCCCCACCTCAAAGTATTGGTGATAGCAGCTATTCCTTCTGTATGTCTTTCACTGTAAAGAGGGGTGGGGCTATGCTGCCTTTGTATATAAGAAATACAGTACAGAATTCTTATCAGAACTCTTTTTTTTCCTTTGCTCAATTTAGTTATTGCATCAGTAACACTCTTGCAGGCGTGTATGGAGTCTCGCTCACAACAGCTCACCTACCTCTGCAAGACTATGAGTCCAGCAACAACATAAATCCCAAGATGGTGGTACTGGATGCTGGACGTTTCCAGGTCATCTTCTTTGAATTTGTGCTGAATTATTTAGGCTGCTATGACTGCTCTTTTCCTGAAGGGGGCCTGGTTTCTTCCTGGGGCAGTGGAGTTGACCTTCCAGTGTCAGATTGGCTATATTCACTTTTACAGCCGGTGACATCCTTGTTCATAATGCACAACGAATATTTGGAAAGCCAACCAGGAAAGTTCTCCACTAGCTGACTAGACATCTTTCTGAAGTTTGTCCCAACCCTTTGCTACAAAAGCTCTGATCTGACTATGAGGTCCTCCAAAATATGCCGGCACAAATGATTCTTCTAGAATAAGAGGCAGGGAGAATTAACCTGTTTAAATCCTATGCAAATAGGCAGCCAGATATTCTGTCTTGCCTAAATCTTTACCCAGCACCCTTGGGTATCGTGAGTAGGTGTGGTGGATGCTATGTGAAAGAGAACACTTGTCTGTTCTGAAAAGGGGGTTTGAATTTTTTCTGCTACAGAAGCTGAGGGCTCAGAATCCTGGTTGTAATCGATACTTCAGTTCTCCAGTTCAGAAACAAGGTGCTGCCTCTTCTGCTGGTGAGTTTGAGACTTTCAGATTTGGGAAAGGAAAGAATGAGAATTAAGGTCTTTATCAGATGACTGTGGCGCTGTCCTCCTCTGCCCACCTCGTCTCTGGATACAGTAAATGGCCAGATCGTCACAATACCTCCCTTGGGTGGTACAGCTTCAGCTCATTCATGTATACAGTTGTAGATTTGATTGAACTCCTAATGTCTGACCTTAACCAGATGAGCCAGTGACAGTTTTACTGGAAAGAATTCCCAGAGCCAAAAAGGACTCCTCCAATTCATTGTGTTCAACACTCCTCGTGTGCTGTTACCTCCAGCTTCCTGCAGCTCTTCTTTCTCTCAGCATACACCAGGGTTGAGAGAGGACTTTCTGTGGGTATTTGGGGTAGGGTTGTCTTCCCAAAACATCCTGTTGTATAAAAAGTACAGTACATACAAACTCAATGAATACTTGTTGCAATGTGACTTCCATTATAAACTGGACTCCTTGAAAGTCTGCCTTTTGGGGGCTAAAACATTGTTTAGTTGGTCAGAGCCCAAAGATAACATTTATTTTATGGAAAATGCATCTGCTCAGGTACTTCTGAGTTAAGTGAGCAAGGGAAACAGATCTTCTTCCTAAGCCACAAAGTATGACATTTGCACAAGGGTATCTGAAATGTCAGATCATGGCTAGTCTTCAGTGAGGGCTAGTAGCTGTGAGTTTGCAAGAAAAACAATTTAAATAGTCTTTTTGTTTAAAATCTTTTTTACTTCATATACAGTCTTGCTACATTTCAAGTTGCAGTATTGTGGAGTTGGAGCAAACACTCTTTACTTAGCTCACAAAGAAGGGATTTCTTTAAACTTTTTTGGTTATTTTTATTAAATCAGTAAAAGAAAAGCAAAACAACTGAGAACTTTTCCTTTTTATAAATACTCTTGGCAGTATTAACCCACATGTACAGCATGTACTGTGCCAAATTCTGCTCTAGCTCCGTATAACCCCACTAAAGGCAGTGGTTTGCTTGGAGCAACAGGCAGTGGACCAGTTGCCGCTTTTCAAGTTCAATAGCTGTGTGCAATGTGGGTGGACTGACATTGCTAGGAGAACCTAACTCTTGCCTTTCCAGGCTCTCTGTCCTTAAATGCTCAATTTTAAGATTGCTCTGATGAAGATTTACATTTAACTTGTAACTTTACACAAACGCTCAGACATCTGAATACCTCATAGAAAATGTGAAAGGGCAAAAAGCTTCCATCAAACTAAGTTTCCATACCAACCTAAAGAATCCTATTAGCAGCAAGATAGTTGTCAATAGCATGTTGCAGCTTGGGTCTGCACCCAGGATGAAAGCTGCCGTTCACTCCTCCCTCAGATCTGGTCTGTCAGCTATCTGCAAACTCTAGCAGACATCACTGTCTCAGCACTCTGTTCACACTTTTAAGGCTGGTTTCCTTTACATCCATAAGGGCTAGAGAATTAGGCTTTGTGTACCTCATTTGCCCTGTTTCCAGCCAGTGATGTGGCTGCATTGATGTAAACCCCTAGTGTAGATGGGATAAACTAGGACTTGCTGTGTTGGAATTTACCACTGATTGAAACTAGAATAGACCAGTACCCATTAGGGATTTGAGTAAGGGCAGTCAAAACAGTGACTAGAATTGATTCAATCCTTTGTGTAGACCAGGCTGGAGTGGGGAGGGATTTTAAATGAAAATTTAGATTCTGGAGCACAGGATGGCAAACAGGGAAAAATACCAGTTCTTTGAGCTGCCTAATCCAACCCCTGCACTAAAACCATAAACTAAAAGTCCTGAGCTTTTTCCAGAGGGACGTCAGTGATGAACTTGGTGTACACTGAGGACAGCATTTCAAAGTCCAAGACTCTGCCTCTTGGTTAGGTCAATCAAACGGTGCAGCCCCACTAGTTTGCAGCTGCAGCAAGGGGACATAGGACAGCAGATCTCTTGAGTTATGAATGTTTTAAATGCTGATTGACTTGCAAAATGTACTGGTTAATTTCATAGGTGAACATCCCTCTGGAGTGACGTCGCCATATAGAACAAGCACCATGCGAGGAAGAGGAATCACTCGCTTGCTGGAGAGTGTCTCCAGACTTTCCAAGTCCTCCAGCAACTGAAAGCCCACCCGGCCTCCTAACCTTACCAGGAGAACTGCACATCCTGCTCTTCCCTATTCCCATGGTAGTCTGGGACTTCACCAGATTGCCGTTGCTTTGTCTGACCCTGTATGCAAAACCCTAAAATACATTCCCCTTCCCTTGACCCAGTGTAACGGTTCCCCTAGAATAATGACAGACCCATTGACTGGAGGGAATTTTTCTTTCAATTAGAAGAAAATCCTGGTTTTATCTATAGAACTACTTATTTTGAAGGGAACTGGCAACTTCTTGCTCTCTTGACTAAATGCAGTCTTTTGGCTTTTCTTTTGTTAGGTAATGGGAGGAGAAGTGCAAGAAAGAGAGGGTGATGGTCAGTAACTGCATGTTAAACATTCTTCTGGTGGTTAATGTAGCATTAAACATGTTGTTTGAATCATTTAGTTCTTTAATCTCCCTCTCTCCGTGGTTTCTTTCCGACCTCCACCCCTCTGTTAGATGTTGGCAGACAGTCGTCTCCACATATAGCCATATAACAGGGCTCGGCAACCTTTGGCCTGCAGCCTGCCAGGGTAAGCCCCCTGGCAGGTCGGGTCAGTTTGTTTACCTGCCACGTCCACAGGTTTCGCCGTTCACTGCTCCAGGCCAATGGGGCTGCGGGAAGTGGCGGCCAGCACGTCCCTCGGCCCGTGCTGCTTTCCACAGCCCCCATTGGCCTGGGACGGCGAACTGCGGCCAGTGGGAGCTGCGATTGGCCGAACCTGTGGATGCGGCAGGTAACCAAACCAGCCCACCAAGGGGTAGCCCTGGCAGGTCGCATGCCAAAGGTTGCTGATCCCTGCCACATAAAATAACATGAGGCTGGGAGGCATTCTAGTGCTGAAAGACTGGGTGGGAGTGTCTCAAAGGGGTACTGCCTTAAATTCTTCATGAGTGGAGGGATGGATTGAATAGTTGAGTTGGATTGAATAGTTGAGTTGGGGAAGTAAATAGACTAAAATACTTGGTGGTAGAAAATCTTCCTTTTGTCTTATAGTTACTGTGAAAATATGGTAGGAGTCCTGTTCATGGTCTGTTGGGCATTGACAATATGCCAGGGCAACAGGGGTCTTGGCTTTTCTGTGTAGCTGTGCTGGCAAATGCTGGTGTTACAAACTGTATCATCAGCTCCTCAAATCTTGAGGTTCATAACAATGCAGTATAACCTCTCTTTTCAAAGGAATCCCAAACCCATTAGTCTGTTGTACATGTCTGCAGGCACAATTTCAGACTCCTAGCAAGGCTGGAGTGACTGCCAACTATTAATATTTTGGACTTCCTGTAAGAATGAGAGTAAATGTGGAAACTGGGATGCTTTATCACATTTTGTTGGAGAATTGGATGCCAAACCTCTGGGGGGAAGGTGTCTTAGCAGTTTCCTGAAAAGTTGTCTGTCTTCTGTAAATTATTTTTTTTAATCTTGCATTTTGAGGCAGTTGCCTGTGGAAATAAACAAGTTATTTTTTTTTCTTTAAGTTCATCTGAGCTGCTTCACAGTTTACTCCAACTGAAGTTGCCAGTATGTGCTAATTCCATAGCAATTAATGGTGATGTTACAAAATGGATTGCGTCCCTAGTAGGAAGCAAAATGCAGATGAGTTAGCTCATTCCATCAGGCAATTACGAAATCTTTAATGTGCTTACCCTTATAAGGAGCTTAGATACCACGGTGATAAGTGCGGGATGAGTGCCTGGCTAGGTATTGTTTCATCTGGAAATTAACTTCAATTGTATGGAGGCTATCCCTCCAAAATGCACAAGATCTCTGAACTGCCTTGATACCGCCTACCTGGCAGACCAGCCTATTTGCCCGTGAAGCTTCCTCGGATGATTCCAAAGTCCATGATTCCTTCCGTAGAGGCCTCCCTTCCATTTGACTAGTCTCCCTGTTTCCAGTATTAGTGGTGAACTTTCACCAGGTAGGAGACCAGAAAGCCTTTGTGTCAAGGTTCCTCCCCCACTCTGAACTCTAGGGTACAGATGTGGGGACCTGCATGAAAAAACCCCCTAAGCTTATCTTTACCAGCTTAGGTCAAAACTTCCCCAAGGTACAAAATATTACACCCGTTATCCTTGGAATGGCCGCTACCACCACCAAACTAATACTGGTTACTGGGGAAGAGCTGTTTGGACGCGTCTTTCCCCCCAAAATACTTCCCAAAACCTTGCACCCCACTTCCTGGACAAGGTTTGGTAAAAAGCCTCACCAATTTGCCTAGGTGACTACAGACCCAGACCCTTGGATCTTAAGAACAATGAACAATCCTCCCAACACTTGCACCCCCCCTTTCCTGGGAAATGTTGGATAAAAAGCCTCACCAATTTGCATAGGTGACCACAGACCCAAACCCTTGGATCTGAGAACAATGAAAAAGCATTCAGTTTTTACAAGAAGACTTTTAATAAAAAATAGAAGTAAATAGAAATAAAGAAATCCCCCCTGTAAAATCAGGATGGTAGATATCTTACAGGGTAATTAGATTCAAAAACATAGAGAACCCCTCTAGGCAAAACCTTAAGTTACAAAAAAGATGCACAGACAGAAATAGTTATTCTATTCAGCACAATTCTTTTCTCAGCCATTTAAAGAAATCATAATCTAACACATACCTAGCTAGATTACTTACTAAAAGTTCTAAGACTCCATTCCTGTTCTGTCTCTGGCAAGAGCAGCACACAGACAGACCCAGACCCTTTGTCCCTCTCCCTCCTCCCAGCTTTTGAAAGTATCTTGTCTCCTCATTGGTCATTTTGGTCAGGTGCCAGCGAGGTTACCTTTAGCTTCTTAACCCTTTACAGGTGAGAGGAGCTTTCCCCTGGCCAGGAGGGATTTCAAAGGGGTTTACCCTTCCCTTTATATTTATGACACGCCCCCCAAATCTCAGCTAGGGTGAAACACTGGCTGGGATTTCTTCCTGGAGCTCTAGGAAAACAGAGTTAATAAGACACATGCATCTCTAAATATACTACCAAGTACATAAAGACTAACAATATTTTCCACATCTCAAGGACGATTTTAACCAGTTGATTCTGGGAAACTTTCACGGGAGAGTGCATCAGCCACTTTGTTAGAAGCTCCTGAGATGTGTTGGATGTCGAAATCAAAATCTTGGAGAGCTAAACTCCACCGAAGAAGTTTTTTGTTAGTTTCTTTGACGGTGTGAAGCCACTTTAGTGCAGCATGGTCGGTTTGCAGGTGGAAACGCCGTCCCCAAACATATGGGCGTAGCTTTTCCAGAGCGTAGACAATGGCATAACATTCTTTTTCAGTGACTGACCAGTTGCTTTCCCTCTCAGACAGTTTTTTGCTGAGAAACACTACAGGGTGGAATTCTTGATCAGGTCCTTTCTGCATTAAAACTGCTCCCACACCACGCTCGGATGCATCTGTGGTTACTAGGAACGGTTTGTCAAAGTCTGGGGCCCTTAGTACAGGGTCAGACATGAGTGTCGCTTTAAGCTTGTTAAAGGCCTTCTGACACTTTCCGGTCCACTGAACAGCATTTGGCTGTTTCTTTTTGGTTAGGTCTGTCAGTGGGGCAGCGATTTGGCTGTAGTGCGGTACAAATCGTCTGTAATAACCGGCCAAGCCTAAGAAGGATTGAACCTGTTTCTTTGACTTTGGGACAGGCCACTTTTGGATAGCATCCACTTTGGCCTGTAGGGGGCTGATAGTTCCTTGACCCACCTGGTGTCCAAGGTAAGTCACTCTGTTTAGGCCTATTTGACACTTCTTAGCCTTAACAGTTAGTCCTGCCTCCCTTATGCGCTCAAGGACTTTTTGTAGATGTTCCAGGTGGTCTGCCCAGGAATCCGAAAATATGGCCACGTCGTCAAGGTAGGCGACTGCATATTCTCCTAATCCCGCTAGGAGACCATCTACAAGTCTTTGGAAAGTGGCGGGTGCATTTCGCAGCCCGAAAGGGAGTACATTAAATTCATACAGCCCGAGATGTGTGATGAAGGCTGACCTTTCCTTGGCAGATTCGTCTAGCGGTACCTGCCAGTACCCCTTGGTTAAGTCCAAGGTAGAGATGAATTGGGCCCGTCCCAGTTTCTCTAATAGTTCATCTGTGCGTGGCATGGGATAGTTGTCTGGGCGAGTTACAGCATTTAGCTTACGGTAGTCCACGCAAAAACGTATTTCCCCATCTGGTTTGGGAACTAGAACCACTGGAGATGCCCATGCACTTTCAGAGGGGCGGATTACACCCATCTGTAACATATCCTGGATCTCCCGTTCTATAGCAGTTTTAGCTTGAGGAGACACCCGGTAAGGTTGGACCCTAATTGGGTGAGCATTACCTGTGTCAATGGAGTGGTATGCCCGTTCAGTCAGTCCTGGGGTGGCTGAGAACGTTGGCGCGTAGCTAGTGCACAGCTCCTGGATCTGCTGTCGCTGCATACGCCCAAGGGTCATGGAGAGGTTCACCTCTTCCACACCACCAGCACATTTCCCTTCGTAGTAAACACCTTCAGGCCACTCAGCGTCGTCTCCTCCCTGGGCTGTAAACTGACAAACCTTTAATTCTCTGGAATAAAAGGGCTTTAGAGAATTAATATGGTACACCTTAGGCTTCCGGTTGGAGGTGGGGAATGCTATGAGATAATTAACAGCTCCCAGGCGCTCCTGGACCGTGAATGGCCCTTCCCATGATGCTTCCATTTTATGGGCCTGGAGCGCCCTTAAGACCATGACCTGGTCTCCTACTTTGAAGGAACGCTCTCTGGCATGTTTATCATACCAGGCTTTTTGCTCTTTTTGAGCATCCTGTAAGTTTTCTCTAGCAAGGGCTAAAGAGGTTCGGAGGGTGTTTTGTAGGTTGGTTACAAAGTCCAGAATGTTAGTTCCTGGAGAAGGTGTAAATCCCTCCCATTGCTGCTTCACCAACTGCAATGGCCCCTTAACCTCACGGCCATATACAAGTTCAAATGGGGAAAACCCTAAACTGGGATGTGGTACAGCTCTGTAGGCAAAGAGCAACTGCTGCAATACTAGGTCCCAATCATTGGAGTGCTCATTTACGAATTTACGTATCATGGCCCGCAAAGTTCCATTAAACTTCTCCACCATGCCATTTGTTTGATGGTGGTAAGGAGTGGCAACCAAGTGATTTACCCCATGAGCTTCCCAAAGGTTTTTCATAGTTCCTGCCAGGAAATTTGTCCCTGCATCGGTGAGGATGTCGGAGGGCCAACCTACCCTGGCAAAAATGTCTGCTAGTGCCTGGCACACACTTTTAGCCCTGGTGTTGCTTAGAGCTACTGCTTCCGGCCATCGGGTGGCAAAATCCATGAAAGTCAGTATGTACTGCTTTCCTCTGGGTGTCTTTTTCGGAAAAGGACCCAGAATATCCACAGCTACTCGCTGAAATGGAACTTCAATGATGGGGAGTGGCTGGAGAGGGGCTTTGACCTGGTCTTGGGGTTTTCCCACTCTTTGGCACACCTCACAAGACTGGACATAGGTAGAAACATCCTTGCCCATTCCCTCCCAGTGGAATGACCCCCCCAAACGGTCTTTGGGCCTGTTCACCCCAGCATGGCCACTAGGGTGATCATGGGCTAAACTCAAGAGCTTGGCCCGGTATTTAGTTGGAACTACCAACTGTCTCTGAGGATGCCAGTCTTCCTGGTGTCCACCAGAAAGAGTTTCCTTGTATAAAAGTCCTCTTTCTACAACAAACCTGGATCGATTAGAAGAGCTGAGAGGCGGTGGGTTGCTCCGTGCCGCCGTCCAAGCTCTCTGGAGGCTTTCATCTGCTTCCTGTTCGGTCTGGAACTGTTCCCTTGATGCTGGAGACATCAGTTCCTCATGGGATTGTGGACCTAGGCTTGGTCCCTCTGGAAGCGATATAGGGGATGGAGCTGTTTCTGTTGACTGTGAACCGCTCTCCGCTGGTGCACTATGTTGGGATTCAGGCTCCGGCTGAGCCTCTTGGGTCGGGTTATCGGCTGCTGCCAGTTCAGGTTCGGTGGGGCCCTCTGGTGTTGAGGTTGCAAGTACTGGATTCAGTGCTGACACGGGGTCTGGTGTTGGTTGTTCGGCTGGTTCCGGTTCTGGGACTGGTTCCGTCTGGGTCTCTGGGACTGGATCCACTACTGCTGTTGCAGACATTGGCCTGGGGTCCAGGTCCATCACCTCTGACTGGGTCCTGATAGAAGTTTCCGGAACAGAGCTAGGCCTCACGGCTTGTTTAGCCTGGCTGCGGGTGACCATTCCCACCCTCTTGGCCTGCTTCACATGATTGGCCAAGTCTTCCCCCAACAGCATGGGGATGGGATAATCATCATAGACTGCAAAAGTCCACATTCCTGACCAGCCCTTGTACTGGACAGGCAACTTGGCTGTAGGCAAATTGAAAGAGTTGGACTTGAAGGGTTGAATCGTCACTTGGATCTCTGGGTTGATTAAATTGGGGTCCACTAAGGAAGCATGGATAGCTGACACTTGTGCTCCGGTGTCCCTCCACGC